CCATAAACAGGTCAACTGACAGTCTGGCATACCCGCTTAACGTACTCTTACTTCAATTTTTCTTGCTTTCTTTCTCGCATTCATTTGTTGTTGCTGTTGCTGTTGTTGTTGTTGTTGCTGCTGCTGTTGTTGTTGTTGACTAGGCAGGCATTGTTTATGGTCAGCTAACGGTATCTATGACTGTGGCAACATCCGTCGCACATTTTGGGCCCTGCTGCCAGCTGCGCGGCCCATTCAAACGGAAATGAGAACTCAACGCAGCGGAAATTTAATAACGACCAGCAATTTAGCGACAAGTGGACCAATGGTCGAACGACATATTTATGCGGCCATTTTGACTGACCGCAGTAACCAGAGTCAGAGTCAGACCCAGCCAGCCAGCCAGCCAGCCAGCTAGCCAGCCACGCCCCCTATCAATTGTTGTGCAAGTGTGCAAGTGTGTGTGTGTGTTCATTGACAAATGACCATTTCATATGTGAAATGGCAATTCAATTGATTTTCAGCGTGCGCGTGTGTGTGTGTGTGTGTGTGTGTATTTGTGTTTGCAATTGAAATGAAAATAGTTCAAATATGTTTGCTCAGGCTGCGCGCTACACATATAGCAATAATGAGAAGTATTTCATAAAGACCTCCCCACACTCACACACTCACACACACACACATGCACACACATAAATTGTATCCTTCTGAAAAGGACAACAACAAAAAAAATACTGACAACAAATTGTCAATAACAATGGCAAAATGTTAAACGTCGGCCCGCCAGCCCAACTGCAGCTGAAATTTATGGCTCGAACAGATCAAGCACTCATATGTCATGGTCATAATAATAAATTTTATTATTTAATTTGAAATTGCGCGAAATAGCCGAGTGCTCGGCCACTGCATAGTGCGAGCATCGACAGCAATTAGGCAACATTTAATTATATCTAAATTGTGTATTTATCTAGATAGATAGCTTGGGACATATTAGATATGCAGTTGGCTAAATGGGCTTATTGTTCGAACAAATTGAGCAAAGCAACAAAGTGGAGAAATATCCTTTCATTTGTCTATTGTTGTAGAGTACCTGGTGAACCGGTTGGTAATTTGACATGTACTTTTATTATAATGAATGTATGGATATTTTAATTCGGTTTATATGCGACATTAATGAGAACTTAAGGTCTCGCTAAGAAGTAAAAATTTGTAATTTCTCAATTTTTGCTTGTTCATTGTAAACTTCATGACAAAACTTGATTTCAGTTAACAGACAGAATAGACAAACGGATGAACAGACAGAAGGAAGGATTAACAGACAGAATTATAGACAGGATGCAGAGAGAGAAGAATGAATAGATAGACTAACAGATGGACGAACAGATTGAAAGATAAATAGAAAAACACATGGAATGCCAGCCAGCTCTTAGAGCAAATAGAATTATAGAGAAGTAAATGGATAAAGAGACAGACCCATGGAAAGACGCACAGAACGAAATGGAGAGGACCAAAAACTTGTTGATGCTGTTAATCATATATATACTTAGAAAGGTCTGCCACGCCTTATACTCTCTAATACTCATATTAGTATTACTCAAATTTATACTTGGAAAGGTCTGTCACGCCCTATTCTCTCTAATACTCATATTAGTATTACTCATATTTATTCTTAGTAAGGTCTGCCACGCCCCATTCTTTCATCTAATATCTACCTTTATAATTTATACATATAACCACAATCTAATTTCCATCTTCAGAAGTCTCCTTTTTCTATAAAACTTTATGCTGTTAACAAAAATATGTTATACCTATAGCTAAACAGAAAACAAAGAAGAATTAAAGTGTTTAATTACAGTTAATAATTGAATAGAATGCAGCTAATTGAAAAACTTGTTTAATGTTTCAGCGTCATGTTCAAAAGGCACTCAAAAGTGTTGAACCTCAATTAGAATGGGCTTCATTAGGTCAGTTAATAAGCTGCTCGACTTGGGAGCTCATCAAATTGGAATGCCTTTGTGCGGGCATTAGACGCACGTCTCTCATAATCAGCTCACATAATTATAATTTTGCACACACACAAAGGCGCTGGGAGAAAACAATTTTCTATGAAATTAATTTTCTCAAATCAGCAGCGAGCGAATAAAAAGTCACTCACTTGTCTATTGTTTGGCTTTGCCACGTCCAAAGCACACACACACACACACACACACATGGCAAGACGAACGAGGTCTGATGTCGACCCCGGCTCTATTTAGACGGCTGTGTTTAGGGCCTGGGCCAAATTATCTTACTCTTGACATTTCTTTTTGAAAAGCAGCCGCCTTACACAATTTTATCCCTGGCTGAGGACTAAGTCTAAGCAGTCTCAACAGCCTCGGCAGCTGCGCCTGTCAAGATAACAGAAAGAGTTTTGCCGCCTTGTGTGTTTGGCTCTGCTGCTGCCATTGTGCATTTCACTTTGGCCAGATTTCACAACTAGATATATATCATCTTATCATGTGCATTTTAATTTTTTCAAAAATTAAATTATGCAAAAGTTAAAAAAAAAGTAGGAATTATTCAATTTGAAATTTGTTAAAGTAATTAAATTTGACACGAACTTTGGCAGCCGAAGGCAACAACAGCAACAGCAGCAGCAGCAGGACTTGGAATTAATTTGCCAACGCTTAAGCCAACAAGAGAGGCAGACTAGAGTGATGGACTGACAGATATCCTAGCTTGTATATCAGTTATTGTGTTGAAAATTTAATTTAAAATAAGCATATACATTTTATAAAAATATATTTTATAAAAAATAAAAATAATAAATCAATATTATTACTAAGTTATTTTATAAAAAAAAAAATTAAAAATTAAAAAAAAAAATAAAAATTAATATGAATTTATTTATTGCGAAATTCAATATGAATTTTTAATATTTAGCAAATGCAGAAATATATTTAAGAGCAAGACTAGCAGGAATACCATATATAGATCACCATAAAATCGGCAAAAGAAATATAATTAGTAAAAATTTGTTTAGATAGTAAAAGTCTAAACTTTATTTTCCGCTCAAGGCTGTATTTTTATCAGTCTAAAGAATCAGGTAATTCTCATTCCAGTAGCTTGCCTCCAATTCGAGTAACCCATATACAATCCGTACAGGGTATACAAAAAGTAATTATCCATTATTTACTTTATTTTACACAAGCCTCTCTGTATGTATATATGTATGTATGTGTGTGTGTATACATACATACATACATACATACATACGGACAGTCACATTGACAGGCGCACACACATCCAACTGTATGTAGATCTATCTGTCTGCATCTATTCATTCCGGCATCCAGTTGTATTCACACCAGAAATTAGCATAACAAAAGGCAGCTGCACAATTCAAACATTGCTAAGTCGATTCTTAATTTTCAATTAAAATCCAATTTGTGCACACAAAAACGCCAAACGACAGAGAGAAAAGGTTTTTCTCTAGCTGCTGCCCCAGCTTCTCAAATTTTCTTCGTCGTTTTTTATGTCAGCTCCCAAATGAAAATATTTTTTTGCTTAAATCCATTGTCAATCCTTGAAACGGACATGCATCATGTGCACGAATTGATTCAGCTACAAAATTACTTGAATTGAATGGAACGTTTTTTATGCCCAACTCGTGAAGCGCATAAAAGCGAAATATGCGTTCAGGGATTAGGGATTAATTTGTTAGCTGAAGAAATTTTGCTATTTATTTTATTTTAATTACTTCTGCGGTATGAGATAAAAAAGAATATCTCAGAAGAATTAAGTACCCAGAATATCATTGAATAACAAGTTTATAATATTATGAAATAAGCTAAATATATTATTATTAAAACGGTTTAATACTTAAGACGTATACTATTTATGAAATTCCTTAAAAATTGTAAGCTATATATATAACAATAGGGAAAATATAATTTATCTTATAATAATTTATTTTTAAATGCTTCAACGCAGCTAAAAATGATTTACAATTTTAAATAATATTATTCAATTAAGGCTAATAATTTTAATTAATTATTTTAAAATATTAAACTAGTTCAATATTTTATGTAAATATTATAATTATTAATGATAATTATATAATTATTTTTGCACTAGCCGAATTGTTGTTAAAATTAATAAAAGTATAAAATAAAATATAAAAATAAACTAACCCCACATTTTTGGTAAATAAATATATCAATTTAATTTACGTTTTTTAAATACACTGCAATAAAAATAAGAGCTAAAAAATTACAATTTTAGATATTGCCAAAAACAAGTTTCAGAAAAAAGAAGGATAAAACTAACAAAAAATTAAAATTGAGCATTCGCATATTTTTAAAGATTTGCCAGATGAGAGTTCTTTTGAATTTTGATCTTTCGTTGATAGCGAAAAGTGTGCACGATTTTCAATTCCTTATAGCGCTGCTCGTAATACCCGCTATGGTCCAGTTTCTTGGCCAACGCCCACGCCTGCGGCTCATTGGTGTTGTAGAGGGCCAGCAGGAAGTTGGCCAGAGCCAACTGAAAGTCCTGCTCCAGATCGTGTATGGCATCGCAGGTTTTCTGACAGCATCTGCGCAGCTCCTGCTGCCGCTGCGCCATCTCATCCGCAGAGAAGCGCTGGCACATCGACAGAAACTTCTGCTGCACAACGTCCAGCTGGAAGATGGGCTCATACAGCTGCATCACAAGCAGACGCAGCCTGGCGTTATCCCGCGTTAGCCACAGGCCATTCAGGATTTTGTCCATATATGAGCCCTGCTGTTGGAGCAGTTCGTCCAGAGTCTTTGCCGTATTGCAGCCCAAGTAGAGCTCCTCGAAGGCGCTGTCCAGTATATTCTCAAGCATGTAGCTGCGCAAGTGCAGCATAAAAGCCTGCTGCCGATCGATGAGCTGATCGAAGTAATCCCGCACCTGTCGCGCCTCCGGGAACTTCTCCAGATTGACGCGCTCCGAGAAATGCGCCTGCTGTCGCCGGATCCGCTCGTTGAGCACATAGTCCGAGTAGTGCAGCTGCCAGAGGCAGACAAAGCACGATTCATACTGAGCGAGCCGTTCGCCGAGCAGGGTCTTCCAGTGGCTCGGCTGCTGCCAGCGCAACAGGAAGCAGCACCAGCAGCGGCTGCCCTGCTGCGCCCCCCTGGCCACATAGAGCGACTTGTTGTGGGCAACCAGCAGCTGCTCCAGCATGCTGTTGAGCTGTGTGGCACAATAGCATTCGGCCGGCTGCTCCAGCAGCGGCTCCAGCAGCTCAATCATGTCGCGCACGAACTCCACATCGGTGAGCAGCAGATACTGATGCAGCCGACTCAAGAGCTCCAGGGGATCGGGTCGCAGCTGATGCAGCTGCTCGAACAGCTGCCGCGATGTGTCCAGCTGCAGCGTGCCAATTAGCTCGACCAGCGGCTGCTCGTCCAGCTCCCGGAAGCTGCTGTGGCAGGCCGACGCCAGCTGCTGCTCCAGCTCCAGCTCCTGCACCACCAGCTCCAGTTGCCGGGCCAAAAAGTGCCGGGCAAAGTGCTGATTCCGGCCCGTCGCGAGCATCTGCCGGGCCAGATGTGGATTGAGGAAGTGCGGCAATCGCTCCGGCCGCAGCTCAAACTGCTGCAGCCAATAGCTCTGGATCTGACTGCCAGCTGCGTGTTCCACAATGAAGAAGTCGCCCTCGAGCAGCTCGCCCTGCTGCAGCCAGCCGCGAATCCGCCTCAGCAGCGGCTCGGCGGCGGATTCTATCCACTGCTTGAGCAGCTCATCGTAGCCAGCGTTGCCCAGGCCCAATTGCAGCTGCAGATACTGCAGCGGCGACGACTGGTGGCTCAGCTCGCCGCACAGCCGCAGCAGCCACTGGAAGCGATGGACGTAGCTGCGCGACTGATGGTACACCTGACTGAGGCTGCTCGGCTGCTCCTTGTGGCGTTGGTAGAATCGGGAGTACGCCTGCAGCTCGGCCATCAGGCACGGCGCCAGTGCCCGACCATACTCGTCCACTCGCTGCAGCAGCACCTCCTGCTGCTGCTGCAGGCACTTGTAGTAGTAGCCCACCTCGGCCAGGGCGAGCAGCATATAGGATTCGCTGATGCTGCTCTGGTGATGCGGCGAGCGCAGCATGAGCCGTGGACTCAACGCCGAGGCGCGCAGCTGCCGGCATTCGTAGCCGAGCAGGGCGTGCAGCGCATCGCCCAGTCGCTCCTCGGGCGACAGCTGGACGGAGATGCCGCGATCGCGCTGCTGCCAGCGCAGAGTCTCGTATAGCCGCAGCTCCTCGGAGGTGAGCAGCTGCTGGATCTGGCACTTGCCAATCGCCTCCAGGCACTCGTCCGGCTGGTAGGCGTACTGCTTTCGCATGCACCGCAAGTAGGCCTTGAGCCGGCGCTTGATTGCAGCGACATGTATGGTCGGGCTGGAGCAACTCGGCTGTGTGGCCACGATCTCAATGAACTGCTTCCACTGCTCGTAGAAGTTGGGTCCGTCGGGCTGCAGCGCTGAGCACTGATACGAGGGATTGCACTTGAACTGCTTGATGATGAAGGGAGATGCGGCTATGACATGGCGCTGGTGCTGCCACTTGGCTGGCAACCTTACCTCTTTCAGCCTGTCAACGCCTTGATTATCAATTTCAATTTTCGGTTCTTGTTGGCTTACGGACTGCTCGATTTGCACTGCTCTTCCTTTAGTCTCTAGTTGATTTTCCAAGCGAGCCTGATCGCAAAGAGTACTTTCGTCTGCCTCCGACTTTTCCCCTTTGATCGGTTGATCGGCTGCCAATTTCGGCTGATCGTTTGGCTGCAACAATTTTATAAATTTCCTGATTTTCGTAATTATCGCACTGTGTGTATCAGTCGATGGCTCCGATTCCTGCGACCAATCTAATGCCAACGCTGGGTTATCGGTCTTTATCGGCTTTTCAACTTCCGGCGCAGGTTCCTTGGATGCTGTTTCAGCTTCCACTTGCATCTGCCACCTGGATGTATATTCAGAAGAGTAATCGGCAAAGACGGAAGTTGTCTCACTATTGGGCATCAGATTATGCTGATCTCGTCGATCCTGTTGAATATCTTGAATAATTTCACTTTCATAGGCATGCAAAGGCTTGAGAGTATGCTGCTGGTCCATCGATTGAGTGGTTTCTCGCAAGCCTAGCTTACTTTTCTCTTCTTTAGCTTCCAAATTAGTTCGGCAATCGACTGGGGCGGACAGAAAAACTTCGGTAGTCATAGATCGAGCCTCTGTTGTCCCCGATTCTAGCTGATCTATCTGCAACGATGTCTTGGTCGCACATTCAAATTGTAGAAAGATTTCCGCTTCAGAATCTTTAAAGTCATCTAGATGTGGAATCGTAAGGCTGTCAGGCAAACTATCCTGATTATTTATCGACAAATCGATTTCTAGCAAACTTGTCTCAGATCCTTCTTCAGTTTGCAATCGGCACATCGCTGGGGCAGCTGAGGAGTTTTCGGTAACTACCGATGCAGCTTCAGCTGGTATATCTGCAATCTGTGGAAACTGATCCATGAGCTGACGTACCTTCGTACAGCTATCTGTACTTTTATTGATTTCTTCTAGGACACATAATTCTGACATCGACTCTGGCGGTGTTGCCGATAAACTTTCAATGCATATCTCAGTTTCCTGTTGATGTTTCCATTGGTCACAATCGACATTTTTCGATCGATTCGGCACCATTTTTAGCTGCGCCAATTGACTATGGATCCTAGCAAGCATTTCAGTGGTTAGCACTAGCATACCTAAAGTATCGGTAAAAGGTGCCAATTTTTGTTCAGAGCTCGATTCATTCTCCACTTTCGAATCATTTCCATTTCCGAATACATGATCCACTGAGAGATCAATTTCTTCACAAACTTCCTCGGACTCAATAACAGATAGAGATTGCTTGGGCGTTATTATCAGTGCTTGATCTTCCGACTGAGGCTCCCCAATCACTACCTTTGAGGAATCCATTGATGATGATTCTTCGTCAGTTACCGATTGACTAAGCTGTTGAAGCTCTCCACTCGCTTCCTTTGAGTGTTCGGTTGCACATGTTGTTTCTTGATCTGTTATCGATTGATTATCGTCCAAAAGTTTAACTGACGTAGATATATCGAGCTCCGACAACTTATCGATAGGTAATTCTTCGCCTTGTCCACTTACTTGTTTCATATGTAAGCCGGGAACAGCTTCCCTAAAACTACATTTATCATTTACAAGGGACTGATCGATTTCTGTGAAAACTATCGATTCATCGGTATTTGGCAGCTGTTCGTATTGCCAATTGCTCTCTTTAGATATTTGCTTTAAGTAAAACCCACCTTTAATATTCGAAGGAGGCAGTATTTCATGCAAGCTTACTTGCTCTTGTTTTGGTTCTTCGAGTATTACTTCTGGCTTTACTTGTGGTTGCGACGTATCTATTGGCGGCGTATTAGTATCTTGTCTAGCAACTTCAATTGTTCCTCTAGTAGAAAGTACTCGAATCGGTGGCTCCCCACTATACGTGGACTCCGAAGTTGCGAAGCCGCTCTGTATTATCGTCATGCTCGGCGCAAGCTCTTGCTGTATGATTGTCTGATTGATTTTTGGCAACATTTCCTCGGACGCCGTGTAGATCCAATCTCTAAATTCCTCGCTTGTGGATGCGAAAATATCTTGGGGCAGTATCGCTATTGAATTTAAAGATTTTTCCATCACTGTCGAGCTATCGTTGGTCGCTTGCTCCTCCTGTATTGTCGTATAGACGACATCTGGCAGCATCTCTTCAGATGTTGTCAGTAGGAAATTCAATCGCATTTCGTTCTGGGACGATGGACCCAGCGAGGATTCGAGTAGAGTGCTTAAGTCATTTGTCTCTGTCGATCCTTCCTGATTTATCAATCGATTGGTCCTGCCTTCACTTGCAGTTGTGCTTGCTCCCATATCCGTAGTTGTATCCCTCGATTGCCCCGTAAGCAAATCATCGGTAGTTGTGGAAATATCTGCGCTCGCTTCGGTTTGTTGTGTTTGTACGCCCTGATCCAGCTGCGTGGTCGAAGTGGCCGTTTGCTGAGACTTGTTTGAATGCAGATATACACAGAGATCTATGCCCAGCTCAGATGTTTCCTGGATACTCTGAGAATTCGCAAATAACTCAACTGTTTCTAAGGGCTCCGCATTCTGACTGCTCACATCCGAGGTCTCACAGACGTTCTTGCTATTCTTATATAGCTCCACAGTTGGAACAGTGGCTATAAACTGAGTGCCCACCTCACAGGTATCTCGGAGAAAGCTCAAAGGATTTCTATTCTTTTCTGCAGTAAATGATGTGAATTATTTAGTCAAAGCTTTTTAGTTTCAGGTAGATTTCTTGGTTTTCGTTTGCCTTACCAGCATTTAGTTGCCGCAAATGAGCATGTGGTCTCATCTGGCTCTCGATGTCCTCGCAGAGCATCACATCAGAGCTTATTGAAAAAGGCTGCTCTGGACTCTTCGGGTGCGCCATGTAAATGATCTTTAATTCTTTATCTCTGATCAGCTTCTGTTCATTAATAGCATTTCGATTCAATCCCATATAATTTAGATCACAGATTTCTCGTTCCCAGCGCAAACCCTTGAGCTGACAACGGACTAAGACCGGCTTACACATTACATAGACTAAACCCAGTTCAAGAACTACGCCAGTTCGCTCTTTTGACGAACTTATCTCCAATTCCTTCTCGTTCAAGTGCAGCACATTTTGGGCCAAGCAAATGAGGTTCTCGGTGAAGTCTTCCTGATATCTCAATTTGCCCTCTAGCTGCATTTTCTGCGGGTTTTCCTCATCGAACAGGTGATAGCAAAATGCGAGATATTGTTGGCGTTTTGTTTCACTTGGCTCGAGTCGTAAAAGTAGCCGATACAGATGTAAAAAGAGCTTATAACGATGCTCTTGAAGACACTGCTCCTGCAAATCTGTCGTTGACTGCAATTGCTTGAAGCGTTGCCGAAAATCGTTCAGTTTAATTTTCATTTGAGTTTCCGGTTTGACGAACACTCTGCCATACTCCACCTTGGTACGCTTGCAGCCGAGAGCGACGCCCAGCTTCCAGAGGAGCATGGGTATACTGCTAGCCAAGTCCTTGGGCGAGACGCCCAGCGGAGATTTGCAAGGGTGCTTTGATTTCTGTTGCTTTTTGTCATCAGCCATGGGTTGATCGAATGCTCAAAACATATAAGAAAATGAAACGAAGCTCGAAAAGAACTGCAATAGGACAGGATATAATGGAATATATATATATAAAATATATAAATTATAAAAAAAAGTATATCAAGTTGATATGAGTGCTAGTCTTAAGGTAATGTTATTTGAAATCCATGTCTAAGGTCAAGCGAATTGAAATATTATATATAAACTATGTCGAGTCTATATTCCTTCAACAATTTCCACTTGAAATGTCCACAAATCTCTGAACATCTCTATACTCCTCACACCGACACCCCGTTAACGCTTTTTACTTACACTAAAAAAAACCGTTTGCAACTTTTAAACTATTAACAAAATATAAAACATTTACTCCAGAATTTGTATAAATATTTTTTATAGAAAATTTTATATATTTATATATATAAATTTATATATATATATGCATTTATTTGTTGTGATGTGATAACTAACACAAAGATCTGTCAGTCCAGAAAACAAATTCAAATAAATCTGAACTTAGGTGTCGTAGCTGTTCATGAATTCTATAGCTAAATATCACTGCACCGCGTAATTAACTCATAAATCTGTCAAAAGATTGTCGACAGGTTAAAAACTCGGGTGTTGAGCAGGGAATTGCGTTTGCAGTCGCAACCTTTTTGCAACTTTTCATTCATTTCAACGAGTTAGTTCTCAATGCCTGAGTACGGGCAGTGCGGGGGTAGGTTGCAAGGGGTGGATGTGGGGGTAGCGCAGGCTCTTGCTGGAAATGTATGATGCCACTTTTAACCTGAGACCGTAAAAAGTTTTGCCAGCGCAAGAGGAAACTATGCAAAGATAAGTGAAAAAGATTATAAATGCATTGTAGTAAAATTTACCGCCAACATCAGCGACAAAAGACACAGGCGTAAAAACAAATAAGAGGATAAAGTGCACGACTAGGTAATACCCTGTGCTCTATTGAATATATTAACAATGTCCACCTCTAGTTAGTTCGATAAAGCAAAAATAAAAGGAATAATCTACCTAACCAATATAAATATATTATGTATCGATATAAATCGATTGAAAAAGTCCATAATGGTATATCAAACTATGATTCTCTTGTAAATGTTGCTGCAAATCCAGTCGCATCATCACAATGGCTTTCCGTAAGCTCCAAATCTCCATATCCAGCTGCAATCTGTGAGCACAGGGTATACATAAGAACGGAAACCAACTGACTGAAATGGCACACAATTTACGTGCAGGCAAGTCAAACGCAACGGAAACGGAAGAGGAAACAGCCATTTAAAAAACTGTCACCAGACAGAAACAAGCGATAGACCGATAGAGGCTGGGGCATAAAAAGCATGGGCATAGAGAGCAAGGAGCAAGGAGCCTGTAGCATGAGGCGTGCCACAGAGAAGCAGTGTTGGTTAAATTGCCAAAGTAGTTGTATTTTGGCAAGATGCCTGCCAGCAACAATGTACGGCGTAGTCTTTGAATTGCAAGGCGTGACAAATCTTTAAGGCTCTGTATCCGTATCTGTATCTGTATCTGTATCTGTATCTGTATCTGTATCTGTAT